GAGATCCTCCTGCCTTGGCCTCTGGAATAGCTGAAATCAAAGGCATGTGCCACCAGCCTCAGCTCTTCACCTGCCTTTTGGCCTGACTTCTCCCTCCACCTGGAATTTTTAATTTTTCCCTTTCCTTTGCCCCCCACCACCAGATGTTGCTTAACCAGCTTTGTGCACCTAGTCCCCAACAGGGAATTCACTTCCTGGACCCAGACCATGAACAGAAAGCATCCTTGTGTCTACCAGGGATGAATTCATTCAAGGTGCCTGGCAGGGCAGACCTAAGATGTTCTGAGGGTTGGGCCTGCCTTCTTTTAGGTGCTTGGCCAATCCAGAGCTGAAAAGTTTGCAGCAGCAGCAGCCAGACCCAGAAAGCCAGGAATTTCAGAATGCATGATTTTAGTGGGCCACTGGGGGAGATGAGCTGTATACAGATGCTTTATTGCAGCAGCTATTGGACAATATCATAATACTATTTACAGATAAAGAAAGTGGATCAGAGAGGGTAAGCAACTTGCCAGTGTTCACACAGCCAGAGAGTGGTGAGGCTTGAAGCCTGACTCGGGACCATCTGCTCTAAAATTAGAATTCTTTATACCATTAGAGATGTTCAGAGGACTGAAAATACGAGCTCATGAATTGTTGTTCACATTAAATGCCAGTTAAATTGTAAAGCTCTCAGTTGAATATCTGGCTTATAGCAAATGGCCAATAACACACCTGCAATCCCAATACTTGGGAGGTTGAGGCAGGAGGACTGCTATGAGTAAGGACAACCTGGGCAACATACTATGTTTGGTCCAAGGCAGCCTGGGCTATTATCCAGTAAAACCCTATTTCAAAAAAGAAAAAGAAGCCAGGTGTGGCGGTATCCCAGTATTCAGAAGGCAGAGGAAGGAGGATCTCTATGAGATCGAGGCCATCCTGGTCTACATAATGAATTCCAGGCCAACTGGGGCTATAGGGAGACCCTGTCTCAAAAAAACATTAGAAAAAAGAGAGAAAGCCAGAGGGAGGAGGAAGAAAGAAAAGGGAGGGAGAGAGGGGAGAGGACGGAGGGAGGGAGGGAGAGATGAACCAAAGCCCTTCAGGAACTTCCCTTTCTTCTTAAAATTGAATCTAAACTCAATCTTCAATTTGGTGACTGCACTAAGCTCATGCCCACCTCAGGGCCTTTCATGTGCTGTTCTTTTCCTTCCTTTCTTTCGATTTATTTATTTTGTTTTATTCTCATTTGTACAAGTGTTTTGTCAATATGCTTACTGGTATGTGTGTAGTGCCTATGAAGGCCGGAAGAGGGTGACAGAGCTGCCATGTGGGTGCTGGCAATTGAACCCAGGTTCTATGGAAGAACAGCAAGTACTCTAACCCTTAAGCCATCTCTTCAGCCTTGCATGTGGTGTTCTTGGAGTGCTGATGCTTGTTTCCCAGTTGAAATTTTCATCCACATCTCAGCTCCAATGTAATTTCTGTCTGTTTCCCTGACTACCTGCTTCAGTGTGGATTTCAAACCCAAATCAGCCCTGACATTACTCAGTTTTATTATTTTTTGAGGCAGGGTCACACTATGTAGAACAAGTTGGCCTCAAACTCAGAGATCTGCTTGCCTGTCTCCTGAGTGGTTGGATTAAAGGTCTGCACTCAACACACCTGGTCTGTTTATTTAATATGGTGCTAGGGACAAAATACCAGACATTCATGTGTGTTAAAATCCTTACCTCATTTCTTCTTTACTATCTCTCTCTCACATCAACTCCACTATATGCTCAGGATCTAGGATAGTGCCAGATAGAACAGGCATTCAATGAAGATGTCCTGGGCTGGAGAAATGGCTGTTAGCTGACCTGTGGGTATTGGGAACTGAACCCAGGTCTTCTGCAAGCCATCTCTTTAGCCCCTTACATCTTTTTTTGAGACAGGATCTCTCACTGAGCCTCAGAACATACTGATTTGGCTAGGGTGACTGGCAAGCAAGCCCCAGAGATCCTCCTGTTTCTGCCTCCTCAGGATTATAGGTGTGTGCTGCTGCACCAGGCATGTCTCCATGTAAAACTGAGCAGAATCTGACCAAAGGGACAGCAAAAGGGACAATACAATCTAAAGGCAGAGATGCCAAGCCTTTTGTCCCATTTTAGCTACCCATCAGACAACCATAGGCTCCAGTAAAGGATTGGCATTTTAGCAAGAGCAGTCTGCAAGCTTCTATGAAATAACCCAGGTAACTGTACCATTCACAGAGGTGCAAGGAAGCCAGTGGGAAGTTAATAAGGTCTCGCTCAGCTGCCTGACCTCCAAAATTAGCGATTTTTGAAGTCAACTAAGAACAAATGCTATGGTTTTACACTGGCAGATTGCCTGGCATCTCAGTTGATTCTGGAGCTTACCAGGTATCCTAGTTCGTTCTCTGTTGCTGTGATAAAACACCAACTAAAACCAAGGGTTTTTTTGTTTTTGGTCACAATTTTATCATAGAAACAGAAATGTAACTAGAACACAAGCTTTGCAACATCTACGTAGATTTTTGCAGTACAAAACTTTTTATTTTTGTGGTGCTAAGGATGGAACCCAGAGCCTTGCACACAGTAGGCAAGCACTTGGGAGACTGAAACAGGATATGAGTTCGAGGTCAGCCTTGTCTACATATGTAATAAGTTCCAGATCAGTCACATACCAAATCCTGGTTAGGAAACAAAAGAAAAACTCCCCAGGAGGGCAGTGCCATTTCACACACTGCTGCCTACATATAGTACCTAAGTTTGTGTCTTCTATCAGGCTAGGTGATAGTTTTCAGCCTGGCCAGCTAATAGATATATGTCTGCTTCCTAGGGCTACCATAACAGTTCACCTCATACTGGCTATTGAAAATGACAGAAATGTAAAAAAAGAAAAACAAAAATGACAGAAATGCATCCTTCATAGTTCTGGGAAGACAGAGGTCCAGGTCCACATTCCCTCTGAGGTCTTAGGGGAAGAATCTTTCCTGTCTTTTTCCATGTTTCTGGCGGTTGCTGGCAAGCCTTGGCATTTGGTGGCTTGTAACAGCATAACTCCAATCTGTCTCTGTCTTCATATGGCCTTCATCCTTGTGTTTCTTTCCAAGGTTTTCTAACAGGACATGACTCACTAGATTCAGGGCCTACAGCAATAGTATGACCTCATCTTAACTAATTACATCTTCAAAGCCCCTATTTCCAAATAAAGTCATATTCTGAAGTTTGAGGTAGACATAGGGGGCATATTCAATCTAGAACAGGTAAAAATGATTAGTGTTCAGTTCTTATTGAAAGCAAACACACACACGCACAGTTACAAGCATACTGGTGACAAATATAGGGACCCTTAACTGCAGGCTAACTTTTGGATATAGTGCAGGTTGAGCTGAACTTGAGTCTGGGCCTCATCTGAAGCTTTGTCATGCAGTGTAGAATGACACAGAACTCTTCAAAAATGCCTGTTTTAGCCAGGAGTGGTGGTGGTGCACCTTTAATCCCAGCTCTCAGGAAGCAGAAGCAGGTGGATTTCTGTGAGTTTGAGGCCAGCCTGGTCTACATTCGAGTTCCAGCCCAGCTGGAGCTACAGGGAGACCGTCTCAAAAAGACCAAAAAAAAAAAAAAAAAAAAAAGCCTATTTTGTTTAGCAGCATATTCTTATATTTGGTAAAAAGCAGTGTGTGCCAATCGTCTACCTCCAGAATTAGTGGCACTGACAATGCTCAGATCTTTTTTTACCCCGCCTTTGAGGTAAGGTCTTACTATGTAGTCCAGGGTGACCTTAAACTTGTAATCCTCCTGCCTCAGCTTCCACCTGGCTGAAATCATCCCTAAATGTCTCAATTAGCCTCTGCTTTTCAGGTGCTGACTTGACCCTTAGAACTGTAGTCGACAGAACATAATTTCTCTAAGCCAACTTTCTAAGGACTGCCCTCAGAGAGACAAACTGGGTAATTTCTAGAGTCTCTCCTACCTCAGCATGGATTTCTTCATCAGAAGAGATTTAGGATGATCTTGCTCTGCCTAGATGAATCAGAGCAGGCTCTAGGAGAACAAGTGCAGGCAAGTCACTTACCTTTCCAGGCTAGGTGGCTTCTCCATCTACAAAATGGGATTGTTCTACAATTGTTCTGTGCTTCTGATAGCTTCCTGCTGCCATCCCAGGCAGAATGTGCTGTTTCCAAGGCTTTAGCCTCAGCACCAGCTTCCTTTTCCCCTCTTGCCCACTTCCAGACTAATGGCTGCACTGCTATCACAGTGAGGTTGATCCTGTCCTGTTTACTTCCCACCTTCAACCCTATTTAGCCACCCAGGACTTCTGGTTCCCCAAACACAACAAATGTTGGCCTTGAAACCTGCTACTTCCTCTGCCTTGCTTCCAATGCCTGACCTAAGTGGCTCAGTTTTATTACCTCCAGGTTACTTCTATCACCCCCATTTTATAGATAAGGAATCTGAAATTCAACAAGGTCAGATGATGATCTTGGTCCACACAGTTAAACAATACTGGACTGAGGAATTAAATTCACAACTAAGCAGTCTGCTAAAAGGACCCTGTCACAATGGAACACTGGCAGGAGGCTGTGGCCCTGAGAGGCATGGAAAGTTACCAAAAGTCATTCAGCAAATTAAAAGGCAGAAGATATACCAAAACCCAAGACAGGGATTGGGTCAAGACTCCTAAACCAGGATTTCTTTCTAGCTGGGGGCCATAGTGCTTCCCCATGGCCAAGAAACTAATCTCTGTAGAATTAGCTAGGCATGGTAGCTTTTAATTCCAGCACTGGGGAAGCAGGAGCAGGCAGATCTCTCTGAGTTCCAGGCCAACTAAGGCTACATAGTGAAACTCTTGTCTCAAAATAATAAAAGAATGGAATTAATGGTTTAGAAGCCAAAGTTAAAGTAACTTCTCCAATTTAGGCTAATGTGTTAGAATCAGAATTCTTTGGAAGTTATGACATGTTGTCAACTGACAAGCACCGATCAGGCAGTTAATAAAGTGCCCAATGCAAAAGCAGGTCTCAGGAATAATTTACATTTATTTACTGATCACTTTAGTCAAACGCAGTTAGAGTGTTTCAGGCGGAGCCATTTCTTGCTAATAGTTACAGGTGGTTCGTGAAGAGTAACTTCAGACTTCTCTTCAGGTTGAGGCCCCAGCTCCAGGCGACACTTGGCAGGTGGATCTGCTCCCTCGGGCCCTCAGGGGGAGGATCTACTCCTTGTTCTCATACTTGTGCTTTATATGTTTCCACAGCTTCTGCATTTAAAATATAACAGTGAACTGTAACCTTTGCCCTCAAATTTTACAGCTACTCTCACTACCCAAAGAAAGGAAGCGTGAGAGAAACCAATGTCAAGTTCTAATTAAAAATGTACACTGGGGCTGGGCATGGTGGCACACACCTTTAATCCCAGCACTCGGGAGGCAGAGGCAGATCTCTGTGAGTTCAAAGCCAGCCTGGTCTACAAAGTGAGTTCCAGGCCAGATGGGGCTACAGGGAGACCCTGTCTCAAAAAGACCAAAAAAAAAAAAGGACACTGATGGGGCTAGAGAGATGGCTCAGTGGTTAAGAACACTGGCTGCTCTTGCAGAGGACTGGGGTTTGGTTCCCAGGACCCATATGGCAGCCAACAACCACCTGTAACTCCAGCTCCAGGGAATCTAGAATCCAATGCCCTCTTCTGACCTTGGTGGGCATTGCACACATGTGGTGCACTTACATACGTGCAGGCAAAATACTCATTAAAAAAAAAACTTAAAAATTAAAAAAAAATTTTTACAGTTGTGGTGGGCAGAATGGAAACAACACCAGGCTTAATGAACAATACTGACATTTATAAAACATTCATACTTTAAAGCCAGGTATTAATACCTGTAATCCTAAGTACTCAAGAGTCTCTCAAACCAGGAATTACATCTGTAATCCCAGTACTTGGGAGGGAGTCTGAGGCAGGAAGATCAAGAGTTCAAGATCAGCCTGGGCTACATAGTAAGACCCTATCTCCAAAAACCAACTAATCAACCAATCAAATGAACAAATACTCTCTTAATCATGTGAAGTAAGTGGGAAGGGATAATCCTACTTTACAAGAAATTAAGGTAAAGATCAAAGGAATGGTCTCAACCTCCCATTTATTAAGAAACAGAGCCTAGATATCTGGGTTCTTTAACTCACAAGAATTACTCAAGAGGTAGGGGAATGTACAGTTCTCAAATATTTCACATTGAGCCACTTCCTTAGACCTAAAATGACTACAATTCTTATCTCTAAAAAGCATAGGAAAATGGGTGGGTGAGCATAATCAGTGGAAACTGCTTAGAAAACATGGGAGTGGCAACACTTTCATTTCATTATAGGCAGGAAGGTGTCCTGGCCACAGAGCTTTGCTTTCCTGGGTTATCCAGTCAAACAACCTTGAATTCAAAACAAGTGAGTGGTAGAACAGGGCAGGTCATCTGTACAGCCACAATCTCATGAAATAAAACATGCACAGAACCTAGCATGGTGAGTGGAAAGATCTCCATTTCCTACTTTATGCTTCAACATTCTTCCAGGACATGCAGCAAATGCTGTTTTTCACAATATCCTCTACTACGCATGGTGGCACCTTATCTGTATTCCTGGCGGTAGTTACTGCTATGATTTCTATTTCACAGGTGAGACTGAAGCTCAAGAAGGTTACACAACTTATTCAACTTAATACCACGGTTATTAAGTAGCAAGTTCCAGTATTCCCAGCCAGGGCTCGAGATTTCTGAGCTACCACTCTTAACCATCAGCCCCAAACTGCCTGTGTGGGAGGCCTTGGAAATGAAACAGCAATTTTTTAAAGGTCAGCCACATTGACTACGGATATGTCCTTTAAACGACTGTGGCCTGCTCAGATCTACCCTTGAAACCATCAGCGGAAACAGAGGTCGGAGTTCCAGCCAACTAACCGGGTGGTTCGGACGCAGTTGGTCTTTTGCAGTCTCAGGTTTTAGCTTTCGTCTCTGCAAACGAGTAAGTGGGTATGTGTGGCGAGACTTAGCAATACTCCCAAGGCCTGCAATGTGGGAGCTACCGACCTCGTGTAAAGTTTTAGGACTCACATCAGGTTAAAGCGGAGTGTCTCGAGACAAAAGACACAGTTCACCACGGTTAAGGGTAGACTGAATTCCGTCCCACCTCCCCTCCCACTGTCACGCCTCAGGCGGGCCCAAGGACAGGATGGCCCAGGCCCTCCCTCACCCCCTCGTTGATGTGCTCGTAGATCGCGTCTGCGCCTTGATCGAAGGCACGCTCGAAGAAAAGAGCGCCCACCACGATGGTGAGGGAGAAGGTGGAAGTCCTGCGGAACAGCAGAGAGTAGAGACGCGCAGTGATCGTTGGCGCCGCCATATTCCCTCACTCCCAAACTCGCGCCCCTGCGCCTGCGCCGACCTCGCGCTCCAAAAAGCTTCGAGGCGCAATGTTTTATGGGATTTGTAGTTCCTTTGTAGCTCAGTGTTGAACGTTTTGAACCCAGAAGTTAACTGATAGCCTGCATTGGAGGACAGAATCTAATCATATTCAGGTTCATACAGCTAAAGTTTGATAAAATTTATTACCACGTTTTTCCTTTTCAATCGTTGATTGCTGTCTGAATATTTTGAACTACAACTCCCAAAAGTCCTCTGGCTTTCTCCCATCTTCCCGCGCTCTGTCTTGTCTTAGCTTCCCGCCTTCTTGGCTACATTACGAGGGACTACGACTCCCAGCAGGCAGAGCACTACGCGAGGGCGCTGGAGGAGGAGCCCGGAGCCGTCCAGCCCCGCGGAACCAGGTATCTTTGAAGGGACGTCGAGGGGCGAGTTCTGGGCTGCTTTCTCTTCACTGAAAGACGAGATCTTTGTTCTAGATCCGCGCGTCCTGCCATCTTTCTGGCATAGAGAATGGGAAGAGAGGTGAAGGGATCTGGGTTTCTGTAACCCCAGCTTGTCCCTCTGCCCCATCTCCTGTACCTACCCCTGCTTGGAGGTGGCAAAAGTCGAGACGTAGGGACCTTAACCCTCAACCACCCGCCACCCTCGGGTGTGTTTCCGCCCCAACCCCGATTCCCGCGCCTGGCCTTTGAAGCCAAGAATACTGGCCTCGAAGGCAAGCGACTTGGGAGCAAAAAGCATGCAACAAATGTTTTTCTGAGCGCTTCCTCTCGGCCTTGCACTCAGTAGGGTCCTTAGTAGGGTGAAAAGTCCTCCGGTGGGGAGGTCCAGTGCTGCAGCAAACTAGCACTAAGTAAACAAGAAGTCTAAATGCTTGGAGGGATCGGTGGTGCTGTTTAAGCCTGGATAGCCACTGTGAGGATGACACTTAACCGAGAGCTGATTATATAGTAGCAGATGGTAACATTCATGCAAAGCCTTTGAGGCTCTTGCAGTGCTTAAGAAAAATAAGTGTAGAATCTGAAGAGGGCCTGGGTCAGCTCAAGTCTGGCCTTGTAACCCATAGTAAGGAGTTATTTTTTTCCTAATTGCACTAGGAAGTTACTGAGGGGTTTTAAACGGCGGTGAGATCCAATTTACATTTTTAAAAAATATTTTTATTTAATATGTATGAGTGTATTGCCTGCATGTATGTAAGTGCACCCGCATCATGCAATGCCTGATGCAGCGGAGGTCAGAAGGTGTTAGATTCTCCTGGAACTGGAGTTAAGGACGGTTCATAGCTGCCATGTGGGTGCTGGGAATCGAACCTGGGTCCTCTGCAAGATCAGTCAGTGCTCTTAACCACTGAACCACCTCTCCAGCCCCCCAATTTATATTTTAATGTTACCTTTCTGGCTGCTCAGTGGAGAGTGGACTGAAGAGGGGAAGTTACTGAGCTGGGTGACTTTCAGGAGGATGGTGAGTTAGAGTAGTGGCCAGATTTGGCATCCATTTTGGGCTTTAGGGCAGACAGAACAAGCTAACAGGTGTGTACAAGAAAGTGGAATAAAGAACTAGAGGTAAAATCAAATTTTGACTTCAACTTAAAATCAGAATTGATTTTTTTTTTTGCTTGTTTTTGTTTATTTTGAGACAAAGTTTCATACTTGCTCTGATGGGTCTGAAACTGACCACATAGACCAAACTGACCTCAAACTCATGGTGATCCTCCTGAGTGCTGAAATTAGAGACATACTCTACCATGCCTGGCCTGAAATTCCGTTTTATGTGAACCACCCCTTAGATGAAGTGGAAATGTCCAGGGCCAGGGCAAATGGGGATATGATTCTAGAGTATAGAGAAGAGGTCTGAGACTGGGGTAAGAATCTTCCAGATATAGGTAGCATTTGAAACCAAGGACTGAAAACTAGGCATGACGGTACAGCACTAGGGAGGTGGAAGCAGTAGGAACAGAAGTTCAAGATTATCATTGGCTACATAGAGACGCTGTGTTTAAAGTAATTAAATAATTCAATTAAACCAAGGATGATCTCTGACTGTGATTTTGATCATTTCTGATTCTTTGGACCTTATTTTAAATATCCTGTTAAGAACAACAGAGAAAGTGTGAAATGGACAACACTGAGGATGAGTTGGCCTCACTATGGTTACTACCTACAAAGCATCCTGGTATCCTTTTGAAGTAGGAAGTTGTGAGCTTGCAGGGAATGACTACTTACTTAGGTTTTAGTAATCTCCTGCAATAGACCTATGACACACAAATTTGGCTGAAGGCATGTTCAGAGGAAAGGGAATCATTTCATGTTTGATGAGTAGGGATGATCACAGGGAGATAAAGGTGTGGCTTATTTGTTTTTGTTTTGTTTTTTGGTCTTTTTGAGACAAGGTCTCTTTGTAGCCTCAGTTGGCCTGGAACTTGCTCTGTAGACCAGGCTGGCCTCGAACTCAGAGATCCACCTGCCTCTGCCTCCTCCCAAGGACTGGAATTAAAGGTGTGTGTCACCACACCCAGCTTAAATATTTTATTTTTTTTAATTTACGTATGAGTGTATTGCCTGCATGTATGTAAGTGCATCCATGTCATACAATACCTGAGAAGGTCAGAAGAGGGGCATCAGATTCCCCTGGAACTGGAGTTAAGGATGGTTGTTAGCTGCCTTGTGGGTGCTGGGAATCGAACCTGGGTCCTCTGGCTCTTAACTACCGGGCCATCTCTCCAGCCCCAGGTATGGCTTATTTTGTTTGGTTTTATTTATTATTTATTGAGACAGGGTCAGTTTCACTATGTATCCCTGGCTTGTCTGGAACTTGCTATGTAGACCAGGCTGACCTTACAAAAATATGTCTTCCTCTTTCTCTTAAGTGCTGGGATTAAAGGCTTACTTATGTCACCATGCCCAGCTTGGCTTATTATTTAATCTTTCAAGTTAAAATTCTCATTTTGTATTAAAAAAATTTAAAAACCTGAAACCCAATTGTTGAGTCAGGGCAGGCATAGTGGTGCTTATCTTTAGTTCCAGAATTCTGGGAGGCTGAGGCAGAAATATTGAAAGTTGAGGTCAGCCCTGGGCTATCAAGTGTCTAAAAGGGAGAAAAAAAATCTTTCAATATTCTACACAAAGATTTAGGAAAGTAAAAAAAATGACATTAACTTTTCTTTTGATTGATGTTTAAACTCAAATTGAACAAACTAAATTCCTCCAGACACTCAGCCCTACTTATAGTTTAATTATATTCTCTCAAACATTTAACTTCATTTACAATTTTAATATATTTGATTTTCTTTTTAAGTACTTTGGATGCATAACCTAACAAGCTAAATTTCCCCAAGGATACTTAGTTACTAGAAAATTTAATTAATTAAGTTTATGCTGAATTTAAATTTCTTGCAAATAATTTAATACTTTTATATTTGGCATATATTCATTGTCCATAGTGATGGTTTCATAAAGACATTTTCATACAAGTTGATTATGTACCTTGAGCTCTTCCCCCTCTTGCTATTTCCATTCAGTCCCCCGACAGCCTTCCTGTCGTATATGATTTTATGCATCTATGTAAAATGTAGAGTCCACAGATAAGAAGAAACATGATAGTTGTTTTTCTGAGTCTGACTTATTTTTTTTTATATGATGACCTCCAGGTACATCCATTTCCTGTAAATCACGTAATTTTGTTCTTTATAGTTGGATAAAATTCCATTGTGTATATATATCACATTTTCTTTATCCATTTATCTGTCGATGGACACCTAGGCTGACTCCATAACTTGGCTCTTGTAAATAGTATGGTAATAATCATATGTGCAGGTGTCCTGATATGTTGATTTAAGTCCTTCAAGTATATATATGCCCAAGAGTGGTATAACTGCTTCATATGGTAGTTGTATTTTAGTTTTGTGAGAAACTTCCATACTGATTGCCATAGTGGCTAGAATAGTATACATTCCTACCAGCAGTGCTTTTTTTATTTTATTATTATTATTATTATTATTATTATTATTATTGGTCTTTTTGAGACAGGGTTTTCCTGTAGCCCTAGCTGATCTGGAACTCACTATGTAGACCAGACACCAGGCTGACCTTGAACTCAGAGATATACCTGCCTCTGCCTCCATAGACCAGGCTGGCCTCAAACTCACAAAACTCCACCTGCCTCTGCCTCCCAAGTGTTGGGATTAAAGGCATGCACTACCACACCAGGCTATGTAGCATTTTTTTTAAGCACCCTGAATCATTCTAATACACAGTGTTTCTAATCATTGCTAACTAATCTCTCAACCTAAAATCATAAGTCTGATGTCAATTACTGACATATATTTTATCAGTTACTTGACTGATAATCACAATGCTTATCTGTCAGATTTTTAGTACATCAAATTCTTTTTAATGTTAAGGATGCTTTTTTTTTTTTTTTTTGGTCTTTTTGAGACAGGATCTTCCTATAGCCCCAGCCATCATAGAACTCGCTATGTAGACCAGGCTGACCTTGAATTCACAGAGATCTGCCTGCTTCTGCCTCCCAAGAGCTGGAATTAAAGGCGTGCGCCACCGGCCTGGCTTAAGATTGCTTTTAAATACCCAGTTACATGGGTTTGTTTAGTTTTTTTTTTTTGTTTTGGTTCTGAGACATGATTTGGCTGTTATAGTCCAGGCAGACTTGGAAGTTGAACTCTTCCTGTCTCAGCTTCCTGAGTGCTGTGGTTAATAGGTATGTGTCATGTTGCCTGGCTTTATACTGGTTATTGCTAAGGACAGATATGCATTGTGAGTCTGATTTATTCTTCTGCCTCTTTTCAATTCTAAACTCTTGGGATATAAAAAGACACTTGTTCAGTAAGCAAAACTTTTTTTTCCCACTCTAAATTGTGCTTTGCATCAGTTGGGGCTACCATTTCAGTTTGCTGAGGTATTCATAACCAGGCTGATTTCTGACTGGAACATGAGTCCAGCAGTCTTGTGTTTAGTCAGAATGATTGTTCCCACAAGGCTACCTTTAGGATTCAGGGTGAAATTTATTCCTCCAGATTTTATATTTTAGGGGCAACTAGACTTAATGGTTAAAATATAACTTTCTAGGTCCCCTTCTGGATCAGAATTTCTAAGACTTTCAGGAGGCATTTGGAGGGAGAGAGTACTAGTGAGGGAACCCAGAACCACTGTGCTAGGCAAGTGCTTCTCTACTGAGCTCCGCTCTCTGTTGCAGGAGACCTTTTTATTTCTTTTCTTTTTTATTTGTGTGTGTGTGTGTGTGAGGGTGATGTATGTTATACATGCATGCCATGGTACACATGAGGCCAGAGAACAACTTTGTGGTCTGTTCGCTACTTTTTTGTTTGTTTTTTTTTGGGGGGGGGTTGATGTTTTTGAGACAGGCTCTCCTCTCCCCAGCTGGCCTGAACTCACTATATAGACCAGATTGGCCTTGAACTCAGTAAAGATCTGCTTGCCTTTGCCTCCTGAGTGCAGGGATTAAAGACGTGTGCCACCACATCTGTCTTGTTCTCTACCTTCTTTCTACCTTTATGTGGGTTCTGGGGATTGAACTCAGGTTGTCAGACTTTCATGGCAAGCACCTGTACCCAATGAGCCCTCTTGCCAGCTTAAGACTTCATTTTCTGCAAGGTTTCAACCTAGAGCCATGGGAAATTTTGAACTGGGCTGAGTTTAGAAGGGTTGATCTAAGGTATTATACAGGCCAAAGTTGGATGAGCAAAGGGTTTTGTCCACAAGTGAGGAAGTGAGGTATGATTTGGGCAGCAGGGTCAGTGGTGAAATAGGAGGAGGAGGAGGCAGGGGCTGTTTGGAGTCTGCTATTTAGTTCAGGAACCTCCTTCAGACTAATTTTGTTTCTCCTGTGTTAGGCCTCCCGAGACCTGTAACCAACTGATGAGAAAATGTGTCTCCAGCTTGTGGTCCCTGGAGCCCAGCCAGAATCAGGCTCGGCCAACCTTCATTTGGGGCTTCCTAGGCCAGGTTTGGTTAGAATCAGGGTTTGCCTTGTCACTCACTAGACAGGAGCTGAAGGACATGTCTACTCTGTCCCTTTCAACCTCTACCTGAGCAGAGTTATCCAGGTGAGCTGCGTTCTTAGAACCATCTATGGCAGCTTCCTGAGGGGGAAAGGGTTATCTTGTCTGACAGCTTGCTCTCTCTTCTCCCCCTCCCCTCTTTCCTCTCTTCCCTCTCCTGCCTCCCCCCTCCCCAGCCCTCATCTTGGGATTAAATCAAGAACCTCACCTAGAGCCTCACACATGCTAGGTAAGTACTCTATTACTGAGCCACATCGCAGTTCCCTTTTTTAAAAAACAATGGTTTGTCAGGCATGGTGGCGCATGCCTTTAGTCCCAGCACTCGGGAGGCAGAGGCAGATCTCTATGAGTTCAAGGCCAGCCTAGTCTACATAGTGAGTTCCAGGCCAGCTGGGGCTACAGGGAGACCCTGTCTCAAAAAGGCAAAAAACAAAACAAAACAAAAAATGATGGTTTCTCACTCTGTAGCCTTGGTTGGCCTGGAACACACACCCAGCTCAGGTCCTACTTTTTTGTTTTAAGAGTTTTCTACTAAATGTAGAAAATTCTTGGGAAAATAGCAAAACACAAAATGAAAAATAAAATCTATAGAATCCTGTTATCCAGGTATAACCACAGAAAATACTTGTCCTAGTCTTTATGTGTGTAATGGAGGAGGAGCCTTTTACCTTGAGAATGGTATTCTGTTGTACATATGCTTGTAATAATAAGCCATTGTTCATTTAATGACAGAGTAAACATTTGTCCAAGAATTTTCTTGGACTTTATTTGTATTTTTATTATTTTATGTTTTGAGACAAGGTCTCATGTATCTCAGACTAGCCTCAAATTCATTCATAGCCAAGGCCAACCTTGAGCTCCTGATCCTCTTACCTACACATCCATCTCCCAAATGCTGGAATTACAAGCATGCACCTTTTTGGGGGTGTGAGATTATCTTGCTGTGTTACCCAGGCTGGCCTTAAATTGCTGGGTTCAAGTGATTATCTTAACCTCAGTCTCCCAAGCAGCTGGCATTATAGGCAGGTGCCACTGTGACCTGTGAGTTGATTTTTAGTGACTATATGATACCACCATTGGACTGTGGCTCACCCTATCCCTGCTTCTTGCCAACCATGGACTCTCTGTGGCCAGTTTTTTAGGGGGATGAAGATGAGGATAATAGAACTGATACAACAGGCTTTGTAAACTCTGCCATTGAGCCTCCATCCCTACCCCATATGTAACTCTGAGCAGCATGCCTGGCATGTGGCTAGCAGTGCATATTGCCAGCTGTTCCTGCTGTTGTACATCTAGATAGAGGTTTTAGGATCAGCTATACTGTAGTCTTGTATGGGAACAGATTCAGGATCCTTTATCTAAAAGGCCTGGGATCAGATATGTTTTGATTTCAAAGTTTTTCAGATTATGGATTATTTGCATAGATTTTACCAAGTGAGCTTCCTTAATCTGGAAATATGAATCTGACTTCTTGAGCATCATGTCAGGGCTCAAGGTTTTAGATTTTGAGCATTTTGGGTTTTAAGACTGGGTTACCCAATCTGTCCTACAACTTTGTCGTGAGCATTTTCTTGGAGGAATTCCCTGTTGAGTACAGGCACACTTTGGTACCCTAGAGCACAGTACTGTTATTTTGTGCTGTTGTAAGGACATATCTGTCATCCACCCCCAGGATATGTTCAGTGGACTTTCTTGTGAGATCAGAGACTGAGTGGTAAGGTGTGAATTCTGACCTGGGAGAGAAGTACTTGTCAGATGAGATGTTTGGCAGGTGAATGAATGGGTGAATAAATAAATGAGAAACTGAACCCTTAAGGGTGTGTGTGTGTGTGTGTGTGTGTGTGTGTGTGTAGATGTTGCATTAGAGGCTTATTTTGTATCTGTGACTATACAAATGATTTTTTTTATGTGTATGCGTGTATTGCCTGCATGTAGGTAAGTGCACCTGTGTCATGCAATGCCATTGGAGGACAGAAGAGATTGTTGGATCCCCTGGAACTGGAGTTACAGACAGTTGCTAGCTGCCATGTGGGTGCTGGGATTCAAATTTGGGTCTTCTGCAAGACCACTCAGTGTTCTTATCCTCTGAGCCATCTCTCCAGCCCCCAGTCACTGTTCTTAACCACTGTGCTATTTCTGCAGCCCCCACAAGCGATTTTTTTATGCAATTATTAGTTATCTATTGCTGCATAACAAATTACCCTAAAACTTAGTGACTTTTTTTTTGATGCAGGGTCTCACTATGTAGTCCTATCTAACCTGGAACTCCCTAATTAGACTTAGTCTGACCTCGAACTCACAGAGATCCACCTGCCTCTGCCTCTCAAGTGCTGGGTTTAAAGGCATGTATGCCTAGCTACAATGAACATTTATTATCTCATGCTATTTCTGAGGGTTAGGAATTTGGGAATGATTTACCTGGGTGGTTCTGGCTCAGAGTCACAAGAGATTACAATTAGGCTATTAGCTAGGGCATAGTCACCTGAGGCTGGCCCGGGCTGGAAGGTCAGTGGTTGGCTGTTGAGGGTTTGGAGGATAGGATTAGAAGTGATATTATGGTCTCAGATCCTGGTTGGGCTGCACAATCACACTGCTCACTGAGTAGCAACTAGCCACCCCAGTCCACATGATTAGAGAGACAGCAGGATGGAGGCTGAGTTATAAGTTGTCCTTGGAAGTGATATACCATCATTTCTGCTCTGTTCTCCTAGTCACACAGACCAATGCTGACACCCCGAGAGGGGACTGCACAAGTTGGAAAAAATCAGGAAAGAGGATCCCTGGGGGTCAGAGAGACTGGCTGCTCCTTCATCAAGTGGGCAGTAAGTACCAATGATGTGCTTGGTAAATACCAAGCACCCAGAGTATATGACTGAGTTCTCATAATTATCTTAGAAATAGTGTTATCACCCATCTTCCAGAGGAAGCACAGATGAAGTACACAGCCCAAGGGTAGCAGGGATGGAATTCAGACCTGGGCTGAGGAATTGCAGGTGCTTCTTATTGGTGTTTCCTTTCATGGTCATAGGACTGACTCAGAGTGTAGCCTGTTCCCACTGCCTAGTCTCCTACTATTTATTACTGGCCTGGAAAAGATCATTCAGTATTCTAAGTACACTTTCTACTGGAAGTGTGCCACTTTCTAACCATTGTAAAATTTAAAAATCCTAAGTTGAATCATCATAAGTCAGGAACTGTCTGTACTTAAGAAAAAAATAATGGCCAAGTGTTGCGATGCACTCCTTTAATCCCAGCACTTGGAAAACAGGCGAATCTCTGTGAGTTCAAGGCCAGCTGGAGCTACCGGGAGATCCTGTCTCAAATAGACTGAAAAAAAAAAAAAAAAGAAAGAAAGAAAAAAGAACTTGTGGGGGTCAGTCAGAGTAGTCTGTTTTTTACTTTGGGTAGGCTCTTGCCCTCTGTGTCCTTTAGCCTGTCATCTGCTACCTGAGTCCCGCATGGCTCTGAGGATATGGATAAGGGCTTGCTTCAATCCTGGCCCTGGCCCAGACCTGCTAAGTTAGAAATTGCTATGGGTGGGGCTCCAGTTGTCCTAAATTTCTGGGAATAAGATGATGTGCTTCACCCAGGGCAGGCAGGAGGCAAATACAGGAATAAGGTCAGGATGAGAGAGCTTTCTGGCTGCAGCCAAGCACCAAGGTATCTGAAGGGAGCATCTGCATACAAGGCCCACCTGCATTTCCTTGGCACTTCTGTTGGAGCAGGGTCCTGAGCAGGCAGGCAGTCTTGGGCCACCCCCACAGACTAGTTCTGATGCCATCAACTCCAGATGGCAGACATGGTGCTGGGATACTGCTGTGCTGTTTGTGGGCGTATAAGAAAGCCGTCCTCTGGCTGCAATTTACTGTTTACCTGGACTCTGGTGGTGCCATAATTAGAAGAAATGACAGGTGAGCTCGAGGGCAGCATGTGGTAAGCATAAGTCCAGGATAATTACAGTGCACATCCCAGTCCTTGGCCAAGGCTGAGCCATTGGCTTATTTTAGCCCTGTGCCAAAGCCACCTCCATCTCCATCTCCAAGATGCACACAGTGAGAGGAACCACACTGACAGAAGTGCAAATGTCTATTCTACCACAGCCTGGGGGATAGGGCAGTGAGATAGGAGGACAGTGGGCTCTGGAGTCCGTCTCTGGGGTGGTCCAGAGAATTGTCAGCCTCACAGTTCAGGATGAGATATTGTTATTGTCATTGTTATTGACACTAACAATAATGGTTGCCATTATTGTTAGCAGCTCTGCCAGCTATGAGCAGATCAAGAGTACTGGAAAGCATGTTCCTCATTAGCAGAATAGACCCCCACACTCAGAGGACCTCTGTGAGGGTGAAATAATGAAAGCAAGGGGCTGGAGAGATGGCTCAGTGGTTAAGAGCACTGGCTGCTCTTGCAGAGAACCCAAGTTCTCACATGGTGGCTAACAACCATCTGTAACTCCAGTCTAGGGGATCCGACACCCTCTTCTGACCTCCACAGGCACTGCACACATGTAGTACACTTACATACATGTAGGTAAAATACTCTTAACACAAAACAAAAATTAATTAATTAAATAAATAAAAAGAGTGAGAGTGAGGTGCCAGCATTCATGAATCAAATCTGAAGCCTTCTCTTCACCACACTCTACCCCTATCTCTTTTCTTCTCTCTCCTGCCTGGGTCAGGAGTGTCTAGTCATTTATTGAGCCTAGAGGACTGAAGTCTGGTTCAGTGAGACAGCTGGAAAGGATTAAGTTCTATGGCAGCTGCACAGCTGGGCAGGCCAGAGTGCCCACAAAAGTCAGATGTCCTGTTGTGAGGGCAGGGTACAGTGAGAGGCCTCCCTATAGGGCATGCTCCTAGCTTTGTGCACAGATTGGGGAAGGGGCCTAGGAGCCAATGGTGTCAAGCATAGAGAGTGAGGCCTCGGCCCTGCAGACCACTCCCATGTTCATTATGCAGGCAATCTATTCCTGTCTCTTGGGAACAGTGGTGGGACAGGCACAGCTCTTTGTTCTTAATGTGTCTGCGCTCTAGAAGGGGAGGGAGGCCCACAGAGAGTAACCCTGAATGTGAGGTGAGACACACTATGGGGAAGAACAGGTAAAAGAAAAAAAGGGGGGGGGGGCTGAGAAGCCTTTGGCATTGAATTTGGCTGCATTTTCAATCAGGTGGTCAGGGTGCATGCAAAAAGGATGAGAGATGAGTTTTGAGTGATGACAGTAACTACAGTCACACTGCCATTCTTGAGCAGTGCCTGTATGCCAGGTAGCATGAAGTGCTGTAGTTGGCCCTGTGTTTCTACGGGTTCTACATCTGTGGATTCAACTAAACTCTGATGGAAAATGCTCAGGGCAGGGTGTGTGTGTGTGCGTTCGTGTGCGCGCTGAATATATATGGATTTTTTTTTTTTGCTATTATTCCCTAAACAATACAATGCAACAACTGTTTCCATAACATTTACATTTACTGGGTATTATAAATACTCTAGAGATGATTTAAAGTATACAGGAGGATATGTGTGGGTTATATACAAATACTGTGACATTTTATATAAAGGATGAGCGGGGGAAGAGATATCCATGAGGGTCCCCACAAATACTGAAGGACCACTGAGCGACCTTGTGAGTCCTCAGCAGCTGTGGGATCCTGGTTTTATAGCTAAGGGCAGACTCAGGGACATGAAATAACTTTGTAGAGGTCACTAGTATTGGAATTCAGACCTGTGTGATTCCAGAGGGTGTCTCGTGGCCACAGGGTGCAAGCCCTGGTGTCTGGTGAAGTTCTGGGAAGCCAGTAGACACTGTTCAGCCATGAACTTAGTCCCTGGGAGTGGGTTGGTGGCACCACCTGTGTTCCTGGTGGCGGGGGAGTGGGATCAGATCATTCTGTTTTCTGGACAGTGCCTCACTCACACACTGCTGAGCATGCCCCCTTCAGAAGATGAGGATGAATCATGGTGGAGAAGACCAGCTTAGTCAGCACCCCATGCTGCTGTCTGGGCCCCATCCACAGACACTCCAGCTGTCCCTCCTCCCTCAGCTCAGGGCCAATGAGCCGCAGTGGTGCAGGGTGTGCCTTGTGCAAGGACTCCTGGCTGTGGCATGAGTGGAGCTGAACCCTAGCCAGCATTCTGCTAGCCAAGTGTGACAAAACACTGTACCTGGCTAGAAGGCAGCTCTCTCTCTCTCTCTCTCTCTCTCTCTCTCTCTCTCTCTCTCTCTCTCTCTCTCTCTTTCACTCACTACGCAGACCAGACTACGTAGACCAGGATGGCGTTGAACTCACAGAGATCACAGCCTCTGCCTTCTGAGTACTGGATTAAAGGCGTGCGCCACCTCATCTGACCTCTGCCCCATATCTTAAGGTGTACCCAAGCTCTGAGTGGGAGGTGGTTGAATCAGGAGCCTAGAACATGTTCCTGGAGAAGTCACCTTCCCAAAGGCCAGCTCCTGCCCAGGCATGGCTTTGGGGACGTGGCTGTGGGGTCAGGTCTGCGAAGGAGACAGAAAGTACTGAACCCCCACTGTTATACCCAGGCAGTGGCACTGTCATGCAGTGCAGGGGGTCTGGTGCTCTCTATGAGGCTGAGGCTCCAGTCCTACCTCTGCCTTTTGTGCTGTGGACTTTGAGCAGCTCCCGGACCCCCTCTTGACCTGTTTCCTCATCTGCAGGGTAAACTGGATGACACCATAGATCACTTGAGCACTGATGTCCAGTTTCTTGTCTAGGCCTCAGCTTTCTGGAGAACTGTAATAATGATGGTGTTAACAACCAGGATTTCATGAGGGCCTCTAGGGGCCTAATACTGTGCTCAGTGCAAACTTGAATGATCTGATGCTCACAGCAACTCACTAAGGGGTCCACTGTTAATATACCAGTCTTTCCTCTTTTTTTTGATCTTTTTGTAGCCCCAGCTGGCCTGAAACTCACTATGTATACCAGGCTGGCCTTGAACTCACAGAGATCTGCCTGCCTCTGCCTCCTGAGTGCTAGGATTAAAGACGTGCACCACCACACCTGGCTTAATATACCAGTCTTCATAGCAGGAAATTGAATCAGAAGTTAGATGATTACCTAGATCAGAGAGTTACAAAGCAGTAGTAGTACCTGGTTTGAAACTCTGACTTGGACTCTGGAACCCAGCTCCTTACTCCTTTTCCCACATGACCTCCTAGGCACTTGACCAGGTAATAACAGGTCTAGAGATCAGTGACTTCCCAGCAGTGACTGCTGGGTGAATGGCACTGTTGTGGGCACCTTCTCATATGACCAACAGATATGAGACCTGCAGAGGTCCTTAGAGATCATCTGTGGCTACCCTTCTACCCCTGCACAATGAGGCCTAAGAGGGCAAGAGATAGCCCCAGCTCTACCTGACAGCTGAAATTAGAAAGTGGGGTCCTGTAGACCTGTCCAGGATACCAAACATTTCCCGTGCCAAATGAGGGACAGCTAGGAGGGTATGGTGGACAGCTGTAGTCCTTAGCTGAGGCTAATAAGGGAGGTTTGTCCCCACGTGTGTGTGTGTGTGTGTGTGTTTAGAGAGAGAGAAAGAGAGAGAGATGAATAAACACAGCCGCCCATTTTGACTCATTATTTGGTTTCTAGTGTGGCTGGGTAGGCAGGCAGAGGGCATGAAGCCTTGATTTCCTAGTAAGCTATTGTTTGAGACAGTGTGACTATCTTTCCTACTCTCAGATCTGTCTGTCCTTACATGTATGACCCAGGGTAACTCACAGAACCCCTCTGACCCTCAGCTTCCTCTTTCATGTGTAGGTTTATAATACATACATTTTGGGCTTCAAAGGGGCCAGCATGGTCTTGTGAGTGTAGTGAATGACTAATAAAGTGCCATGAGTGTGGTTTGTTGAAGGAGATTTAAGTGGTTCAGAGTATGGACCTTCTGCCTGGATTCAAACCCAGTTCAGCTGCCTTCCAGTAGTGTGACCTTGACTAAACCACTTCAGTTCTTGGGACCTCAATGCTCTTATCCTGAAACATCTCCTAGGCCCTCCCTTGCAGGTCATGCTGAGGATTACATGAGGTGGTATACATAAAACTCTTAACCTAGTGCCAGTGCACAGCAGATGCTCAAACCATTAGCTTTAATAATATTTACTGAGTACTTTCTTGTATGCATTAGTGTTGGTTTCAATTAATCCTTTTCATTTGTGGTGCTGGGAATTGAACTTAGTGCCTCATGCATGCTAGGCAAGTACTTTGCCACTGAGCCACAGCCTAGCCTTAATAATCCATGTGCATTAGCATATTTATACCATTCTTGAAACAATAACTGGTTACTCAGACCCACCACCTCATATTCACACAGTGAAATAGAGGTGTAGAGGAAGAACAGTGACTTGCACAAGGTCACACAGCTGATTTCTAGTGCCATGTGTAGTTTGGTCCAGTTTGGTCTGCTGCAGCACCACTGTTCTGAGTCAGTCTCCCAGAGGAACAGCCTCTCCACTCCTCCTTTCCCCATTACTCTCCAGAGTCAGCAGCTCCTTGGAGCTTCAAGCTTCGTGAATGGCTTGGTTAAGCACTTGGCCATTAAACGTTCATCTCTTACAATTTCAATCCAATTCCTATAAGTTTATTGGCAAGACGGGGTGCATTAGAGCTGCCAAATTTAATATATCAAGTCCGCATGTCTGGGATGCGGTTTCTCGGCAGTAATGGGAGAAGAGAGGTTTTATACGTTTTCATTTGGAATGACTGGCTGTTCCTGATCCCATTACAGCCCCCGACTTAATGGCTGTGGTCTCTGTCTGCCTTAGGAGCAGTTTTCTCCACCAAACTGCTTGACTGCCTGGACCATCCAGGGCACTTATTTGTCTCTGCTTCTCTCCCCAGTCTACTTCCTGAGATGTGTTCCCCTATCTGCTTGCTCTGTGGATTGGGTCCCAGTTTCAGCCTTGTTTGCCAGGTGCTGTCAATCTGGGGCTTTGGTTGCTAGCCTGGGCAACCACCTTGTAACCCCAGGGAAATCATTTTCCTCCTCCTCTGGGACTCAGGAGTCTGCTCTGTAATATTAGGGGCTGCTCTGTGCTTAATTTTTGCAGGACCCTCTCCATGACTGGCTCTGGAAGGAAGTTCCTTGTGAAGCAGGCTCTTGGAAGGAAGCTGTGACTCAGGCCAGGCCCTCAAGGAGTACTCATCTGGGGGCCCTGTGCTTAGAGTTTTGACACATGAACTCCTTCAGTGGTCTGACCAAGTACTTTGTGGTTTTCCAGGCAGCCCACCTGGTGTAGGTGGCCATGGGGAAGAGATACTTCTGTGACTACTGTGACCGCTCCTTCCAGGACAACCTCCACAACCGAAAAAAGCATCTGAATGGGCTTCAGCACCTCAAAGCCAAGAAGGTGTGGTACGACATGTTTCGAGGTGGGTGGTTGCAGGCTTGGTGGCTGGCTCCTGGAGCCTGTGCTCTTATCATCAGACAAGGACCACTGTGCAGCAGTGGAAGTCTAGAATGGGACTTAAAAAAAAAAATTATGTGCCAGGTGTGGTGGCGCACACCTGTAGTCCCAGCACTTGGGAGGCAGAGGCAGGCGGATCTCTGTGAGTTCAAGGCCAGCCTGGTTTACATAGTGAGTTCCAGGACAGCTGGGGCTACAGGGAGACCCTGTCTCAAAAAGATAAAAAAAAAAAAATTATGTATTTTTTCTGTATGTTTGTTTGCCTCGGCTCATGTGGAGGTCAGAGGGCAACTACAGGAGTCAGTTCTCTCCTTCTACCATGTGGGTCCTAGAGTCTGAACTTAGGCTTGGAAGAAAGCACTTTTACCCACTGAGCCATCTAAAGAGAGGAAGAGTTGGACATGGTGGCACATGCCTGTAATGCCAGCACTCAGGAGGCAGAGGCAGGAGAGTTGCCATGAGTTCAAGCCCATCCTGGGCTATATAGTGACTTCTAGGCCTGCCTAAGTCACATAGTGAGACCCTGTCTCAAGAAAACCAAGGGCTGAGGATGTAGCTCAGGGATAGACTGTTTGCCTGGCAGGCAGAAGACCCTGCATTTGATCCCCAGCAGTGCAAGGCAGGAAGGCAGGAAAAGTAAAGAAAAAGTAGAGGGAGGGGTGGGCCAGGGTGGGAGTTCCTTTCCCCAGCACATTGACCAGATGCTCTGTGCTGTACCCAGCATAGACCACTTCAAGGATACTGTGGGCAGAAAGAACCATCTCTGAGGAGGTGGTGTTTGAGCCACAAGCTGAAAAATGGGGAGAAGTCAGTCACACCATTCTGGGCCCATGGGAGAGAAAAAGTGGGCTGTTTCAAGCAAAGCCCCAGGTACTGTGGGAGCAGAGGAAGAGGGTGCAGCCTCTGAGAGAACCACAGAGGGGCTAAAGCTGGCTATGGGCAGTGACTGGGATCCTCCAGGGCAGCCTTATAAAGAGTACTGCTGGGTGAGCTGGGGTGTGGAAAGCAGCTGTTCTGTGATGGTCTCAAGAGGGTGCTCATAGCTCAAATGCTAGATGGAAGGGAGAAAGGAGGGCACAGGAAGGACTTGCTGATGAGCTCAGGTGGGAAGCCTCCATCACAGGGCCTGTCCTGGTTGGTGTCCACAGACAGGAGCTGTGCCGAGCCAGCAGAAAAGTATAGGAGCTCGGCATTACGGCTGGGGTGGACCAGGATCTCCTGGAGTGAACTAGAGTAGTATAAGTGCACTCCAGGTTAGAAGCAGGCATCTAGGATAGGGCCCAGAGCTGGGAAATTAAAAACTGGGTCTTAGTAGCCAGGAATATAAGAGAAAAGCAGAGAAAGCTCACAAATGAGACAGCATTTATTGAGTGCTTGCTGCATGTCATATGCTGCCACAGTGTGCTGTTTCTTTCTCTGCGTGACACCATAAGATAGTGGAGTGGCCCTCAACTCTGGATGTACATTAAGGTCACCTAGGGACCTTTAAATAAAAACCACTCTGAGCTTGGTAGCTTAGTGGGGCTACTTGGGAAGCTGAAGCAAGAGGATCATTTGAGGCCAAGAGTTTCTTCATTTTGTTTTGTTTTGTTTTTGGTCTTTTTGAGACAGGGTCTCCCTGTAGCCCCAGCTGTCCTGGAACTCACTATGTAGACCAGGCTGGCCTTGAACTCACAAAAATCCACCTGCCTCTGCCTCCCGAGTGCTGGGATTAAAGGCATGCGCCACCACCCTCAGCTCATTTTGTTTTGTTTTTAAACAGGATCTCACTCTGTAGCCCAGGCTGACCAGAAACCTGGAATTCACTATGTAGCCCAGGCTGGCCTTGAGCTTGATTTGTAGACCAGGCTGGCCTCACTCTCACAAGGGATCTGCCTGCGCTCTGCCTCCCAAGAGCTGGGATTAAAGGTGTGCACCACCAAACCCTGCCCATGCTCCACAGTTTGAAGCCAACCTGGGTAACGCTGCAAGACTCCATCTCATTAAAAACAAGATACTGATCTCCAGATGCAGGTTGGGATGGTTGGGGACCAGCTATGGTTTTCTGATTTTGTTTTCACTGTACTGGAGATTGATCTAAGACCTTGCTGAAGCTGAATAGGCACTGAGGCACTGAACTTGAGCCCAGTCCTTTTTTACTTTTTATTTTGAGATAAGATCTCATTAAGTTTCCCAGACTTGCCTTGAACTTTCTCTGTAGCTCAGACAGGCCTTATACTTGCAATCCTCCTGCCTTAGCCTCTGGAGTAGCCTGGACCACCAAATCCAGTTTGGGTATAGTATTCTTTTTTTTTTTTTGGTCTTTTTGAGACAGGGTCTCCCTGTAGCCCCAGCTGTCCAGGAACTCACTATGTAGACCAGGCTGGCCTTGAACTCACAGAGATCCACCTGCCTCTGCCTCCCAAGTGCTGGGATTAAAGGTGTGTGCCACCACACCCGGTAGGTATAGTATTTTTAATTTATTTTACTTATTTTTATCTTATGTGTATGAGTGTATTGCCTGAATGTAGGTAAGTGCATCCATGTCGTGCCCGCCCCCCGGAGGACAGAAGAGGCTGTCAGATCCCCTGGAACTGGAGTTACAGACAGTTAGCTGCCATGTGGGTGCTGGGATTTGAACCTGGGTCTTCTGCAAGAACAGTGTTCTCATCCACTGAGCCATTGTGAATAGTATTTTTAAAACCACCAGGTGCTCCCATTTCAGGTGAGGAAACCAAGGCTCAGAGACTTGAGAGAGGGAGGTGGCTGGTCAGGCTATTCAACAGGAAGAGTTGCTAAGGTTATAGGGGTGGGTGAGGGTGACTGAGAGTGAAGGTAAATGGGGAATTTGGGAGCAGTGGGGTTCTTCAGAAACTTGGCATCAGCTGGGCCAAGATCATCTTGGCATTGGCTCCTAGTCCTAGGTCCTGGGTTCAGGAATGAGCAGCAGAAAGGTGAAATGGCAGATGCCATGAGCTCCTCCTCAGGGCTCCTCAGATCCATAGTCACATCCAGTCCTTAGGATAGCTCTATGAAGGAGGCTGATGGGCCAGGAGTCCTCACTTATAGATGATGACTTTAAAATCCAAACCACTGGGCTGCCTTTCTCAGGGTCTCCAGCTGCTGGGGGCTGAGGAGGCACACATGAGCTCTTTCTACTTCCTAGGGAGACTCCTGAGAGCAGCCTCCCTTCAGCTTATCCCAAGCATCTGCATAGACTCTGGGTGGCACTATGTGCACCACCAAGGGCACCAGTCAGCACTGTTCTGTTACCCCTACATCATGGCCTTAGACAAGTCTCTTGAGCCCTGAGAAGCTGTTGTGATGATCCATGGGCCATAGCCAGGACAAGCATGGACCCTGGAGATCAGCCTGAGTGTCAGCCCCACAGTGTTGCTCTCTGACAATGTGACCCTTATTTTGTCCTGTGTAGCACTTATCTCTCAGAGTGATGTGATGGGCTCAGTAGTCCCATGCTGTCACAGAAGAGTGTAATTAGGAATAATGTCCATGTCCCCAAAAGGATTGGCCTCAGGTCCTTTATCTCATGAGCTCACTTGTTCAGCTATTACTCAGTGAGTACTTAGCAGATCCTCTGTTCACAGCCAGCCTTTGAAGATTCAAAGATGGATAAAGTAGGGCTCTCCTTTTAAGTAGCTTTTCACCCACTTATTTATCACATCTATTTGGGGTGTGTTTGTGTGTGTGTGTGTGTGTGTGTGTGTGTGTGTGTGTAGGTGCCACAATGCATATGTGGAAGTCAGAGGACAACTTGAGGGAGTCAGTTCTCTTCTAACAACATGTGATCTCTAAGGATTGAACTCAGGTCACCATTCTCAGTGACAAGTCCCTTTACTTGCTGAGCCATCTTGCTGGCTGTGCACCTACTTAGAACAGTGCGTTTTGGGTAGATCTGACTTGTCCTGGCTCCCATGTTCTGCTGGCCTCTCCCTATTGGCCCTATCCACACTTTCCCTGTGTGTCCCTTCTGTGGACATGCCCTTCCTGCTGTCCTCCCCACATCAGGACAGTCTCCCCATCTCAGAACTCAACTCAGGCAGCAAATCCTCAGGGGTGCCTCCCTGTCCCCAGGGCCATGCCAGACAGTTCATCATTTACCACATGGATATCCATGTGGATTAGTGTAGCCATTGGACTGGAAGGAAGGACAGGCTTTCACTTGTTCTGCACTTAAATCCTCAGCCTGGCATGGTGCCTGGCACACAGGATGTGCTTAGTGAACGTTTGGGAGATGAATGGCTAAATGAGCAAATAATAATGGGGCACCAGGGGCAGCTGGTCATTTGGGAAGATGAAGCTTGAAGGACTGGCACTTTAGATCACAAGAAGCATTGCATATGCAATAGAGGGACAAAGCCTCAGAGCAGACCTGGGCTGTGAATTCTCAATCCTGGAGGCACTGAGGAGCTTTTAGCCATTGTGATACTCTCTAGATACTCTCCTTCTCCAAGGGATTAAAGCAGAATCTAAAAATATGTATATCTGTAATACTAGCACTTAAAAGGCTGAGGCATGGGGATAGAGAGTTTAAGGTAGCCAGAGCAACACAGTGAGTTCAAGGCTGTCCGGAGCTACGTAGTGAGACCCTGTCCCAAAGAAAAAAATAAAAGTAGAGCCTGAGAAGAATCAGGCCTGTAATCCCAATCCCAGTTTTTCAAGAGGCTGAAGCAGGAGGATCACAAGTTCAAGACCTGTCTGGACCTCAGAAAAACTGAGAGGAGTGGATCTAATTGGCCATGTGCTTTCACAGCTGCCCCATGCTTCCAAAGTGTGGTGGGGTGGAAAAGCACCAACTAGAGGCTGGGTAGCATACAATTCCTCTTCTACACTCAGTCATTCACCCAGGACCTCTTACCTGGGTCCCCCAGCTCAGGCCCTGCCTCCCTCCAGCCTCAGTGATACTAGGCTCAGGAGAATCCTGGGCAAAATCTGTATATCCTCTGTACTCTTCTTTCCTGAGAAGACAGGCTGGTCAGGCCATAGTCCCAGCTGGGTGGGCTGAATCTGACAAGCCCAATGCTGACAGATGGTTCCCTTCCCAGCCTGGTGGCCTCACCCTGGAATGAGTCTTCTGATAACCAGTGACCCCTGCCCTGTTGGCAACTAGCTGCCCTGCAAGGAAGCATCCCTGTTATGTTGTCCACTTACCCAGCCACCTAACAGTAGCCACATGAAAAGAGCAGGGCTCTAGACTTACACCATGGCTCAGGCTTGGTGCTGCTACTTCCTGACCATGTGCCCTTGGGCAGGTCGTTTCCCTGTCTTGAACTCAGTTTCTTCCCTCTGCAGAATGGGGGATGTTAGTATTGTACAGCAGGTTTATCAGGAGGAAATAAAAACCATGGCTGCTTTTGAGCATTCTTATAGGACTGGCTGCCCATTTGTATCATCTGGGGAACAGGATGCTGAGGCTGCACCCAATTCCAGAGGCTGATTTCATTATTATCATTTTCTTGATGATGCTAAGGTACCGCCAAGGTTGGCCCCCGCCTCTACCAAGGGCTTTCTATCTGTTGTCCTATTACATTTTTACAGCAGCCCTGCCAGGTAGGGACTTTCCTCCCACTTTTGTGGGGGAGAACCAGCCTTGGAACGATTTGAGTAGTCTGCCTGTGTTCATGTACAGCTAGACTCTGAAGCCTGTGATCTTTCTCTGCTCTAGCAGCTTCTAGGAAAGATATGGGCAGATGTCCAGTTCGGCCTCTCCCCTTGTAATTAGAATGGTCTCTAAGTTCAGGGGCCACCCTTGGGTGTCTTACTCACATTTTTTTTAAAAAGTTTTGAGACAGGATCTTGCTATGTGGCCTAGGCTGGCCTTTAACTCTCATACTCAAGTGATCCTCCCATGCCACCCTTGCGAGTAGGGTGTGCACCTACCAGGGACCATAGGTGTGCACCACCATGTTTGGCTTATTCACAGATTCTGACCAAGTGATACCTTGCCTACTAAGAAGAACACAATTTTAAAATCCTAACTGTATGATGAAAATAAAGAGAGGAGAAATTGGGGAAGGCCAGGGTTAAAGTGAGCATGATTGCTGAGAAGTCCTGTATGAGGCAGTGGCTGGTGTGGCTCTGAGCATCCACCACTGGTGTCAAGAAAAATAGAGTGAGAATTGCTACCTTGCTCTAGGAACCATTCCTGGACCCTGAGATGATACAGGGTAGGGGCATCAGGAGTTTTTTAAGCTTTTTATGTTTAAATATTGTGTGTCATTTAATGATGGGGATACATTGTGTAGACATCACAAACCAAGATAGCCATGACATCACTACACAAATTGACCTGTGGCCTGCCATGGACCCACGCATCTTTATGTGGCCTGTAACTGTACTTATATTCACAGGAAGTTAAGAAGACTGTACAAAGGTCCCATGGTGCTAGATTTTTAAAAATAAATCTTCCCATGTGAAGAGCCTGTAACCTCAAACCTAGCTCATGCTTTTAGCTGGTTCTGAGGGCAGGAGCTGTGGAGGTGGCCTCAGCTTGAATCCTTATGTGTAGCATCTCTACTCACTGTGGCCAACCCCCCCTTACCTCCTCCATTCATGGAGAACTCTCTTCTTTCCTTTTGACTCTGTGCAGCTGAAGTCCATGCCTCTGAGACTTCACCTCCCTTGGATGAGCCATCTGAACCCAGCCCATCTCTTTTCTTCCAGATGCAGCTGCCATCTTACTGGATGAACAGAACAAGCGACCCTGCAGGAAGTTCCTGCTGACAGGTCAGTGCTCTGCTTAACTCAGGTCCTCCGGGAACAGCTTGGCACCCTGTAGCTTCTTCCCCTAACCCCAGCCACCATCCTGAGTCACTTTGTAGCCTTTTTAGCTGACTAGTCAGTTAGATAGCCCTAAGAATTGGGCCTTGTGCTTTCCAGGGCCTGATTCTCACCTAGAGAGACCTTCAGACCCAGAATGTGGTTTTATTGGCTCACTTAGAATAAGCAAGCACTGGGGAATATGAGTCCACCCAGGGAACACTGATGAGGTCATAGAGTAGCTGACTGAGTTAGCCTGGGAGCTCCTTCCTAGCAGGCAGAGCCAGAGATAGGAACAGATCTAATGATCGAAAGTTCAGAATCAGAAGTACACATGCTAGGTATTTCTTTGACTGCTTAGTGCTTAGCTCATAAAAATAAAGATAGGGAGGCTGGAGAGATGGCTCAGCGGTTAAGAATACTGGTTGTTCTTGCAGAAGACCTGGGTTCAAATCCCAGCACCCATCTGGCAGCTAACAACTGTCCATAACTCCAGTTCTAGGGGATCTGACAGCCTCTTCTGTCCTCTGAGGGCATTGCACGACACAGGTACACATAAAAAATTAAAAAATAGCCAGGCGTGGTGGCGCACGCCTTTGATCCCAGCACTTGGGAGGCA